CATCATATCTAAGGGGAGCATTATAGAGAGACAGGCCAACATAGAAAGAACAAAAAGTATAAGAAATGACTAGGAATGACTCGGTCAATAAAAAATTCTTGTCATTCCGTATATAGATGGGATCTCAGAAATGATTGTTTCCTCGGTAAAAAATAAAAATTGTATGGTAGGGTATAGATGTCTCAACAACTGGATAATATTATTAAAGCGCAGAAAGATAAAACTAAACATCCATGCAATTCGAATGTGGTTTATAAGATCAGTTGCAATAATTGTAATGCATCTTATGTAGGCCAAACAAAGAGGCAATTGCAGACGCGAATGAAAGAACATAAAAATAATATTAGATTGGACTCAACGAAACATTCAGTAATTTCTGAACACATAATAAATGAACATCATACTTTTAATTGGGACAATGTTAAGATCATGGACAACGAAAATAATTATTATAAGACTCATTTCTGAGATGCTACATATCAAGGAACAAAAAAATGACTAAATTTAAACAAAGATACTGAGTTACTTAGCGAGTCGTATTTTGATATTTTGGATATATTAGCGAACAAGAAATAATAATAGGACAAATAGGACATTAACGAGTAAAACATAGATATTAGATCATATATAAACACGCACGCTCTCCGATCAAGTAGAGTTTAAAATGAGCTGTCTTTCTGTATTGTTGGTTTGTTATGTGTCATCCTTAATAACTGTTAATAAGTAGCAAAATTGTCAAGAAGAACGATGATAGGTAAGCATACTACCAATTGTAGGGGATACATATTATAATTTGGACATACGTTGATCGGTAATTTTTTATTAATCGCAGCGCCTACGGAACGGGTTAATTTCTCGCATATTAACGATGAAACTATCCGAGATCTGAACAAAATCAGGGATCATATCGAGGCGAACATTGTTGGACAGGACGGATTGAAACACGCGTTAATTGCTCAAAAACTCTTGATTCTGAATAACTATAATTAAATTTCGATATTATGTGAATTGTAAGAATTTATATTTCAATAATTATACTGAAGAAGACCGCGTGCGGTCGAAACGTTTATAGAATGATTGTAATTTGCGTTAGTATTAATATAATGACTGTAGTTTTATAATTTATACATGTAATAAATGGTAGTTGACTGAACATCTCGAATATTCAGCTCGATAAGTTGGCCTTATATTTATCACTTTGTTTGAAATATTTCATAAAATAAAATATTTGTAATATTTCGAAGTTTATGTTGAAGTGTACATGGGTTTGCAATGGTTAATTTTTCATAGGATTCTACATGAGTTTGCAATGGTTAATTTTTCATAGGATTCTACATAAGTTTGCAATGGGTACGATTCTACATGGGTTTGCAATGGTTAATTTTGCCTAGGATTCTACATGGGTTTGCAATGATTAATTTTTCATAGGATTCTACATGGGTTTGCAATAGGATAGGATTCTACATGGGTTTGCAATGGATAATTTTTGTTAATGGCGTGCCCTTAACTGGTCGCCTTTTTTTACCTTTTTTTAAAGGTGAGTTTTTAGAGATTATAATAGTTTACACCCCGTATATACGCGCGAGTAAACTACATAATATTCTTTGATTTTTTATGCGGCGCATTTATCATGATGTGAATTGAAATATTTTAACTTATTTCGTTAGACAATCGAAAGAAGAACATAAATTTAATGGAATAAAAATCATAACAAAGTAACATAACTATTAACGAAGAATGTTTTCATCGTATCAATTATGCAGAAGATCTCTTCAATGGATGTGGCATTATTTTAGAAGGTATAACAAACAACGTGGAGCATGCGATATCTATGATAAAAATTTTATCCTATTATCTATCGATACATCTGTGATATATCATATAAAAATAAGGCATAAAGAAATTTATACATAATGTTTCCAGTGTGCGGCCTTCTTATTCTATATCAGGAAATATATTAAAATCAGATAATTGTCCAAGACTTATACCAATTTTTTATATATATATCTGAAAATATAAAAAAACATAATTGAAACACACATGCTTAGAACAGCAAATATACTCCACACTTGGAAATAAAAGACATTTAAGTTAATTCTGAAAAGCAAGATTTGCGACAAATTTAATAAGATAAATAATTCTTTTAAATTAATGATATTTATTTTAATTTTTCATAATATCTCTGCACCTCTCCAAAAGCTACCAAAAGAGTAAGTGAAAAACCGATAAATATAAATATTATTATTTATTTTTTTTTAGTGATTAATATAAAATTTTGAAAAATAAGTGAACAAATATACTTAATGAATAAGAAAGTTAGTCTCGAAATAAACAAGGGTATGCGAACCGAACGCGAAGGTTTGTGCGTTAGATAAGAAAAATTAATTTTTCTCCTATGTTTTATAATTGTGCACAAGGCACGAAATTTGCTTAGCATAGTGCTAACAATAAGACTATTTAGGAATAATTCTCAACTTAGTTTTGAATTTTAGGATCTTTATTTTAATTCCTAAGTTCCCAATTCAGCAACTTCTGGACCGATATACTTTGCTTTTCTACATCTTTTAGAGGGATCAGAGAAAAACATAGGAACTAAAACCTCGAATTGAGATTTATTCACAAACATCTGCGTTAAGTTCGCATAGTCCGTTCATTCTGAATTTGCATTTAATCCATGGAGTTTTTATATTCTTATATAGAGTTTAGATTTCTAGAATATATACACCACGTATATACGCGCGAATAAAACTACATAAAATTGTAGCATAGTCTTATATAAACTATGTACATACATCAATTATTAAATATTTGTATTGAAAGTCGAGCATTTTATTTTAGCTGAAATTTTATCTGTAAAGATTTAAAGAATGAAAAATGTAAATCTCTCTCTTTCCCTTTCTCTCTTATCGAGAAAATTTGACAATTCACAGCACTGGAGTTGTAAATTGTAAAATATACATACATAAAAGTTGGTAAAATTTAATAAAATAAATGATAACTTGAAATAAAATTATTTTATTAAGTTTAAATAATAAATAATACAAATACATGGAATTAGTAAGATTTGAAATAACTGATAAATTTGGAAAAATATATTATTTTATATCACGCGTGCGCGTAAATGCCTATTTTGCGCACTGTTTTCCGTTCGCAAAGTAACCATTTTCACACGCAACACACTACAGATGCTTCAAAACCCATTATTTCACGCTTCAAACTCATTATTTCACGCTTCAAACCCATTATTTCACGCTACAAGCTCATTATTTCACGCTGCAAATGCTACAATCGCTACAAACACTTTCTTCCTAACGCCATCTCGCAGCGCGCAACCGCCACTACATCCCCATTCCAGTCTTTTGCATTGCATCAATCTAATTGAAACGAGTCAATATAAAAAAACCAATATGACATCGAACATCACATTTGACAACAGTGAAAATGAATCACCTCCAGAAATTACAGAAATGGCAAGAAACACCATAGAAAATCTCTTGCCTGAAAAATCAAAAGAAAAATATACAGCTGCATACAACAAATTTATAACCTGGACAACTGTCAAAAATATAAGATCATTTTCTCAAATATTAACAGCACGCCAAACAAAATATATTTCATTAACATTAAATAACTGCACAATACACAACATGTCTATTGAAGGAAAAAAAGACTAATTTATTTTCATTTTTATTTTGTTATTACTTATTAAAGAAACCAAAGATTAATTTACTTTATTTTTATTTTTTTGTTATTACTTATCAAAGAAACCAAAGATTACCTTACTTTATTTATTTATTTTTGTTATTTTCTATTAGAAGAAAATTAAGACTTATTTTTATTTTGCTTGCCTATTATTTCATTGTAAAAACAAGATATAAATAAAATCTCTTTATATTTCATAAAGCTTTCCCCTGCACCCCTGACCAGGGGGCTTCGTCCCCTGGACCCCCCCCCCCCATTGCGTTTTATTCCCTCGCCTACTTCCACCCTCTCATTCCACAAAATTCGCACTCATGATATAAAGTAGTATGTGATACACGTGCGAGTTGGTAACGACAATTGCCAACTTCTCGCACTTGTATCACAATATACTATTAATTAAGCTTAAATAGAGAACAATACATAAATGAATAGTAATAATAAAGAATAATTAATAAATAAATTATTTACTACGTTCTATCTTTCAAGCGCATAAAAGAAATGGTAAATTTGCTAGTTCTAAATTACATTTCCTGCGCATGCCGTCGCCAGTCCTTATATCTATAATTTAGTGAAAACAAGCAATAAGACTATAAAATTTGGGGTCAAATTTAATAATAAAGAACAGACCGTCTGTAGTGTGGAAACGTCTCTCGTATACATCAAACACACATTTGTGCTCTTGTAATCGGCAGATTCATTTCGTGTACTGCAAAAAGCAAGGAATTAATTACGCGAATAGTTTATTGCAATCACTTTAATTTATATTCCTTTCTTGTGTTTCGTTTTTTATAATGTCTGATTATAAGATAACGTGCTTACCAGAGGAGATGATAAGCCACATTCTCGACGATAATGTACTCACTATTGAAGATATCATCAACTTTCGATGCGTGTGCAAGCAATTTCGTTATGCAGCCACATATGACAAGTTCTTGGAAAAAAAGTTATTTCAGAGGTAATTCTTGTGGTTTGTAAATCTTTTTGTTATTTTGTCTCTGTTGTGTATGTGAGGATCACCAAATAACAATATTCAGTAAATTGAAAATAGATTTACTTTAAACAGAAAGTCCGTTAAACGGGTACAGTATTTTTCGCGTGTGTGTCGCTCGACTGCTCCGATATATCTCCTACCTTCGAGCTCCCTCCTGAGGGCTCTTCCTTGTCTTCTCGGCATCGCTATCGTCACGCACGTGTCGTGAACTTATTCGCTGAGCCTACACGCGTGCGCGTATTACTTTAAGCGCGCAAATATAATAATCTCACGCATATCTAACACCCTCTCTTGTTATCGAAAGCTTCTACTTCTCTGTACGCTCGGAAAAGAAGTCTGGGCGTCTCTTAGTTCTAGCAGAGCGACGCTGAGTTTCTAATATAGTTTCCCTATTAACATCTTGGTTGGTCTGTGAGGAAACTGGCGCAACATTTTCTAGCACCTCCGGAGGATTCTCCGTGTCTAGCGTTACAGGACTGTTCGAGCGTACCGGTTCCCGAGACTGTTCAGAATCCCAATAATAGTGATCGTTTTCTAAACAGCTTGTAGGAGTATCTTTTCCGATTTTGCGCATCTGATTTACGTGTCTTTCCCAAGAGCGGCCATCGTCTAAATGGATTGTATAATGCAGTTTCCCCTTTCTTGCCGATACTACACCGAACTTCCATTTTTCTCCCCCGGAATAATTCCGACACGCAACTCTCTCTCCGCATGCAAATGTTTTTACATTTTCTATAGTATCATAATGAGTATTTAAATTACTGTTTTGCGGAATCATTAGGTCTAGTCTAGTGGATATTTTCCGATTTAGAAACATTTCCGCTGGGGTTTTGTTAGTTGACGCATGCGGCATTGTTCTATATTGTAATAATAATTTGTTTAATGCAAAATTAATATTTTTAGCTTCGCACTTCATTCGCTTTAATGCTTGTTTGAACGTTTGAACAAAACGTTCTACCTGACCGTTTGTTGCAGGATTAAAGGGTGAAGTACGTTTATGTTCAATTCCATTGATTTGTAAAAATCTTTGAAATTCCGAAGAAACAAAAGTTCTACCGTTATCGGTTACTATTACTTTTGGTAATCCGTATGCTGCAAACATTCCTCGACACTTTGCAATTGTCGTTTTTGCAGTAATGTCTTGGACTATATGTACCTCGGGCCATTTTGAAAAAGCGTCGACCATGAGCAAGAACATTTTTCCTAAAAATGGCCCCGCAAAATCAACATGTACGCGTTGCATTGGCGCTGATGGCGCTTCCCATAAATGTACTTCCACCTTTGGAGGATTGTTCTTATACTACTATTACAGTTATTACAGTTATACAGACTATTACAGTTTGCACAATTTCGAACCAAATTTTCTATGTCTTTATCAATGGCTGGCCACCAACAATGGCTACGAGCCAACCCTTTCATTTTTACTACTCCAAAGTGTCCTAAATGCAATTCTTTTAATACTTCAGCTTGTAACGTTTTTGGAATGTAGACACGCGATCTACGCATAATTACATTGTTTTGTAAACTAAACTCGTTTTGCTCGATATTAAAACGCTTTGATTTGTGTTTTACTTTCCCGGTCTGTAATGCTTCTAGTAATTCTCTTATTGTTTTATCCTTTCGTGTTTCTATCTCTATTCTACTCGCCGTTACAGGTAAGGTTTCGATTACTTCCAATTGATACGCATCTACCGTATCCGCTACCGTTTGTGGCGCGTCCACGGGAAGTCTGGATAAGCAATCCGCATTCGCATGCCTCTCAGATTTTCGGTACTCAATTTCGTAATTATATCCTTGTAGAAAAATAGCATAGTGTTGCATACGCATCGCTGAATATATAGGCAGACTCTGAGAAGGCGAGAAAATTTGTACAAGCGGTCTATGGTCTGTTATTAACGTGAACTTGTTTCCGTATAGAAATTGAACAAACTTTTTAACACCAAAAATAATTGCAAATGCCTCCTTGTCGATTTGGGAGTATTTTGATTGTACTTTTGAAAATGTTTGTGACGCGAATTGAATAACCTTCTCAGATCCATCAGGATATCGGTGTGACAACACGGCTCCGACTCCGTACGAGCTCGCGTCGGTTGCTAAAACCAACGGTAATTTCGGGTTAAAATGAACCAGCATTTGTTTACTTGTAAACGCCGCTTTAGCCTTGTTGAATGCCGTTTCGCATTCTTTAGACCATACAAAACGTACCTCTTTTTGCAATAATTTATTTAAAGGATGTAAAATAGAACTTAAATTTTGTATAAATCTACCGTAATAATTTATCATGCCTGTAAAAGCCCGTATTTCTGATACATCTTTAGGTCGTGGCATATTCTGTATTGCTTCGATTTTTCGATTATCCTTATGAACACCTACCCTATCGACTACGTAACCGCAATAATCAACTTTATCTAAAAAGAATTTCGATTTCTCTAAATTTATTCGAACATTGAACTTGTGTAATCTACTTAATACTTCCTCAAGTCGTGTTAAATGCTCCGTATCTGTACTGCCCGTAATTACAATATCATCGAAGAAAATTGCCACGCCCGGTATTCCTTGTAAAATGTTTTCTATTTTGCGTTGCCATATTGTCGGACCGGGCGCAATTCCGTACATCATACGATTTACTTTGTAAAGTCCCTTACTTGTACTGATCGTTAGCAACTCGCGATCCTCGGGTGCTATTTCTAGTTGTAAGTACGCTTGTTTCAAGTCGATTTTTGAAAATTTTTTTCCATTGGCAAGTTTCATAAATAGCTCGTCTACTGCAGGAAAAGGGTACTCATCAACTATTAAATGCCGATTTAGCGTAGCTTTGTAGTCACCGCAAATACGAATTTTTCCATCCTTTTTCAAAATTGGCACGATGGGCGTAGCCCACTTAGATGACTCTACTTTCTCAATAATACCCGCTTGTTCTAATGTGTCTAGCTCTTTTTCAACCAACATTTGTAATTTAAAGGGAACTGGTCGAGCTCGCACGAAAATCGGGGACGCGTCTTTTTTTAGCTTTAAGTGTACTTGTATGTCCTTAATTGAAGCAAATTCTGAAGAGCGAATATTTCGATACTTCTCTAATATTGCTTGTAGCTTACTTTTTGCGTCTACTGTTACTGTATTTACTTGAGCATTACAGGCTAGAAAAACGTGCCCATTAAATTGCCTAATCCATTCGCGTCCTAATAATGGCTTTCTGACTCCGCCTATTAAATAAATATTCAAATCGTTTACAATTGAATTATTGTACTTAGCTCTGACTGTAATATATCCTTTACATTTAAGCGCGCGCCCGCAAAATGAAATTAAACGCAAATTTGTATGACGAATGGTCGCTGTTGGGAAAAGTTTGATCGCTTCAGACTCACTCATTACTGTAACCGCCGCTCCACTGTCTAACTCGAACTCGACTTTTTTTCCTTCAATCTCCATTGACAACAGAAATTTGTCGCGATAGTTCGCATGCTCCAAACTGAGCATTTCCTCTAAATTGTTAGTGGAGGACGTATTCTTGAAGCAGACCACACGTAAGTGCCCCAGTTTCCCACAGCTATGACAACGTACGCTCCTGTCTATATTACATTTATTTGCCAAATGACCTTTACCGCACCTAAAACATTTTACATTAGTGTTTTTGTACTGTTTATTTTCTTTACTCGCCTGTCTCGAATTTTCGAATCTCGTGACCTCCTGCTTCGGCCGTTTATCACCTGCATTTTTCTTGGAGGTTTCTTCCCTGCCTTGAGATACGCCACGCCGGCCGCCTCCGCACTCGTTTCCTTCATCTGCGCTGAGCTCTTGTCGGAGAGTTCCATTGTAACCGCAGTCCTGACAGCCTCATCGAAGTCCAGGTCCGTCTTTTCTAGCAGCCGACTCTGAGCCTTTTTATTGCGCAGTCCAAAAACCAGTTGATTCCGTAGTGCAGTGTTAAGGTAGTTGCCGAACTTACAATGTATGCTAAGTTTCCGTAATGCGGCAACGTATTGTTGTACAGACTCATCCTCTTGCTGTTTCCGCTGGTGGAAAGTAAAATTCTCTGCGATTTCCAGCGGCGCCGGCGCGTAATATTCTTGTAGACATCTCACTAAGTCGTCGTATCGACCAGTGAAAGGATCGACCGGATCAAGTCGATCACTTAGCATGTCAAATGCCGTGGGCCCCACGTAATGCAGCAAATACGGGACCCTAGCCTGGTCCTTGATTCCGAAAATCATAAAGGCTCCTTGAAGGCGTTGCAGCCATCTTTTCCACGTCGTATTCGCCGAGTCAAATGCTTCGATTGCAAGAGACCCGGGTATGGTAGCCTGTGCCATGATCTGCCCCTAAGCGGTTTTAAAATCTTCGCTCCACAATTTGGATTTTGACTTACGTCCTCGTATGGCAGCGTCGCCGTTATCCTCGTATCACGACTCGTAGCACGAGCCGTTGTAGCCCGGAGCACGTGGCGATCACGCACCGATCAGTCGAATCCGCCGCAGCGACGAATATACGTCTTGCACAAATAAATCTTTCTACGTACGCGAGATTAGAATAATCCCATCCTCGTCGCCAAGATTGTTGTGTATGTGAGGATCACCAAATAACAATATTCAGTAAATTGAAAATAGATTTACTTTAAACAGAAAGTCCGTTAAACGGGTACAGTATTTTTCGCGTGTGTGTCGCTCGACTGCTCCGATATATCTCCTACCTTCGAGCTCCCTCCTGAGGGCTCTTCCTTGTCTTCTCGGCATCGCTATCGTCACGCACGTGTCGTGAACTTATTCGCTGAGCCTACACGCGTGCGCATATTACTTTAAGCGCGCAAATATAATAATCTCACGCATATCTAACAGTCTCATTAACGCCTGTCGCACAATGTATATCACTTCTGCAAAGAACGTATATTATAAATATATAATAAATACAAAATATTAAAAAAATTAGGTATGTTGCATATTAAATTATTTGCTTTCATTTTTTCTATTGCTCAATAATTTTGGCAAACTCTACCGTTATATATTGTTATATCCCCCAAAGATATAGATATAACTATTAAAAGGTAACTAGTATTAAGAAATGAGTACTCGTATTACATCCGCAATTACGACAGACACTGACCGCGTTAAAAAACGCATACGATGCGAGGTATACGCGGAATCAGAATTACGACAGATAATGACCGCGTTAAAAACGCATACAATGCGAGATATACGCGGAATCAGAATTACGACAGATAATGACCGCGTTAAAAAACGCATACAATGCGAGATATACGCGGAATCAGAATTACGACAGATAATGACCGCGTTAAAAACGCATACAATGCGAGATATACGCGGAACAGAAATTGGTCAACGTGCAAGCAAAGCAGAAGGACTTTGAATCTGCTTCGCTTGCACCTAGATTCTCGACCGGGAAAACCTGTTGCCAGGCACCCCTTCCGATCGGGAAAACTTCAAAAACAACATTATAAAAAGAGAGTAGAGACGCGCCAACTCGCTCAGTCGCAGACACCAACAATCGCTCTAACCACGGTCTCGCTAACCGCGCGCGCACTTAGCATCGACTCGCAGTTGTGCACGATACGCGGAGTGATAGAAAGTCAGTGCCGCACACCCGGTAAAGCTTCAGTGTATTATTGGTGAAATAAATAAAGGCCAAGTGGTCGAATTTGAATAAAGATTTTTAATAAGAAAAGTGCAGTGCATTTTCTACAAACACCCGATAAGTCCTGACGCCCCGGATTCCCATCCCAATTTGGCGCGACCCCCTGGTGTCTCTCCCGAGGCACACAACAATATATACTATATATATACATACACATATATATATATATATATATAGTGTGTATTATACTGAAAAGAATTCTTAATTCTCGGCTGTCAAAAATTAGAAGACCAGATATTTTTCAACCGACATTCGTCAATTGATGTTTATTTAATTAATCACACAATGTTTCGACCACGGTGTTTCGATCATATAATTTTGGTCCTTCGCACACTTAACAGTAACACTTGAGAATAACAAAAATTATATGAAACGTTGTGTAATTAATTAAATAAATATTAATTAACCTATATATATATATATATCGGTCGAAAAATATTCAGTCATTCAATAATTTTTTTTTAGATTTAATTATTAAAATACAACATAAAAGTAACTTGGTTTATTTATTATAATGTGTATTCTTCAATACGTTTAATTGCATTTTTAAATATTAAAATTATATATATGATATATATTTGTGATAGAAACAAACAGTGTTGATATTTTTCTATCGGTTCTTTTTTATAAATAGCATTAAAATCACAATAAATCTTTATAAAAGTAAAAACATGTTAAGTGACATATATGTAGGATTGTTAATTCTATGCGTTATTAATCATATGTTATTATAATTTGATGTATACGCGCAATTAGATAATATAATATGCGAGTCTTTCGAGGATTCGGGTTTTCGTCAACTCGAATTCCTTTGTAGAAAAACAAGAGTGGAGACGGGATCAGCTGAGCGGCTGAGCGACTTGTAAGAGAGACGAGAGGCAGTCCGCTATAAGCCTCGAAAGGAGAAACAAATAGAATTACAAACCCTGATTCTCTAAATATTTGTGCAGAATATATCTTATCTCCAATACCGAATCCTACATATATAAGCAAAGTCGACATTGTTTGTAAATAAGCTTACGAAAAAATTGTTCTACAAAATATTAAAAAAACTTAATCTATACATACATACACATAAGCACATTAATGTTTATTAATTGCATATAGAATACACTTACAGAATTATGCAATATACATATTAGAATCAAAATTTGAAAAGTATAGATTTAATTACAAATTAAAATTGACTATTATATATTTTTCTATTTTTGATTAAAGTATAAAAAAAAGTGACATATATATACTCATGCTTTAAATTGTATACTTTAGAAAATTTATTAATTTGAAAAATGACTTGTGCAATCACATTGTTAACTATCATCAAAGTTTGCTGTTTGTTATCTAAATAAAATTAAATAGAAGAACTGTGGCGTCATCTTATCTGCATATAGATAATAAAAATTTATCTTATTATTATCTTATCTTATTATTATCGTATTATCTTTATATCTGCATCTTACAAGTAGATAAAAAAAAAGTACTACCTTTATACTATTTATTTATCTAAAATAATATTCAAATAATTTTTGGTTTAGAATCATAGTACATAAGAATACTTAAAGTAGACAGAAAAGCGATAAAAATTTATAAATAAAAATAAATACATATATTGTTGTATCCGTTTTATAATTTATTTTTTGTATAACTGTGTTTACATAAACAGCCTTAAAAATATTATCTAAACAATTATCTAAATAAATCGTCATATAATTATATCTTTTATCTAGATTACTTAAAACAAAATCATCTTTATCCTATCTAAGATGAATTTTCATACTTTTATCTCATCTTTATCCAGCTAATTTTAAAATAATCTTGACACAACACTAAGTATCATTATCAAAAATGTATTACATATTTTTATGGTCGTATTTCAGATGGCCCTTTACGAAGAAAAAATATGAAAGTCTTAAGGAAAAGAAAATGAAGAAAACATAAACTTTGTTACAATGGGCATACATTTTGCGACACAATTGCGACATTATTTGTGTCTAATTCTTTTTCATGATTATTATTACAATAAAAAATCAAATCAAAATTATTTCAATGACTCAATTAATAATGTAGTATATTGGAATTCGATGATGTAAAAAAATTCAGTGGTAATATCGATAAATATGCAAACCGTTTGAATGAAAATCTACTTGTTTTTAAACGTATGAATAAGTCTATAAATGTGCTGAAATATATGTTTTTATATTGAGGAGATTAAATGCTTGTTAACACAATTTCCACAGTAGGATCTTCATATATATTATAATGCTACTATTATTACAATTTAATGTATTTATTCATTAATTAATAATTTAATATGTATAAATTTTTTAGGAAAATTGACTGCAATTCAATCCAAGAATTTTGCAATATAGAAATGTCTCACTATGAGAAGCTATCTTTGATACGAAATGAGTTGGACAGATATAAAGTAAAACCTGAACGAGTTCAGCTATTGGAATTATTTGTACTTTCATAGCACAAGGTATTCAACCTCGAAAAGATGTATGTTACACGAATGTAAGTGCATCATTGGATACAACTGCACAAGAGGTATTGAATTGTCTCAAAGTAAAGCATCCGAACCATTCGATATTCTCCACGTCTCGTGAAATTTTTTCCTACTGGAAAAACAATAATATTGAAGATAATCATTGGAACAAAACAGAAAGTACGCAGATTATGGATACACTCCAGGAAACATATTTAGCATCTTGAACTTTCGAGCATGTATCTCCTCATTTGCACCCGAATATCAAATGGATTTGTATAGATTATGTAAGTTATTAGAGATTATAATATATATAATTATGGGCCATATATGTTATATTATATATTGTGTCTTAATTTCTCTCGCTTTAATTAATTTGTTCTGTATTATACCTGGCACAGGTTTTACAAAGTAAATATGGTCAAGATATCATTGTATATGCAATATTTCATAGCGTGGCTAGAAGGCTTGGTCTACGTTGCGATGTACTACAGGTTTTTTAATCGATTCTGTGTATTTTGGAAACCAAATTGTAAGTATAGATATATATTAGAATCGACATTATCATTATTTCTCGATAATTTTTTTTTTCTTAGTATACGCATACGTATATATATTTTTTTTTTTTAATTTTCATATGATTAAGATAATATTTTAATTGTTTACAGCGTCACGAATAATTTCGAAAATGCACGATGTTTTTTATATAAAAGACGAGAATTTCCCGAATTGTCTTCATGATTATCTATCAGATACAAGTCTTGTACACATCATGACGTCATCGAAATAAGAACTGAACAGATTGAAACTTATTTATTACTTCTATTAATTTTAGGTTATTAATATATATTTGTAAATTGACAAGGAATTTAATAAATTACATTTTATGTGTAAGAAAAGAAGAGAAATGTACATTCTCTCATTTTTTAATTTATAATTAGATCCTTGTTTACATTTAATTTTATTCATGTTTAATTAATTTTTTCAGATGTTGGACTGATAAAAGATTTGTTGATTGTTTATATCGGGACAAAATAAGCAATTTGGGGATTAGTTTCCAAAGTGAATTGTAATGTGTAAAAAACATACGCGCCCTAACATAATCGCTAGTTAGTGTATAACATATACCATTGTAAAATAAAGAGCATTGTGAGATATTTTCAGATAACAATTATGTAT